TTGGATCACAGTTGACATCAAACTGACAGAAGTCCGCGAATTTTTCCAACAACCCATGTAAAACATACTCAAAATCAGTCTTTTTTAATATTTAGAATATAAATGTAAAACAAAATGAAATATTATTGTCGAAGTTCAACATGCAACGGGAATCCAAGTGGCATTGTCTTTTCTTAAAAGAAATTGCTAGAATACTCAGAGTTATCTTAAGGATATATGACACGTTCCTCAAATGAATATCTTTTTATATATCTTCAGTATATGTAAGACATTTCTGGAATTTTAATTACTATCTGGCCACGGTATGGATCGTGAAACATGTTTAGCTTAAGTCAAAATGTTCATTTTGTACTAAAATTCTGATAAAGTCTAGCAAACAAAAATTAAAGTATCTGTCAATAAGTGTTTTAAACTGTATATAAATTCAAACATTTCACAGGCGATTGAAAATTTGACTTAAGTCTAATACCACATTCATACGGCATGATTTGCATACCTCAGTATATTTTGCTCAAATGTAAATTTGATTACTCATATGTGCAATTTTAGTCGTATGCAAATTCTGCACAGTTGAGTAAATTTACACATGGCCAGGACTAGGTGCAAATTAACTTTTGCATACATGTTGTAATTAAATTAATAGTTCATGTGTGTAATTTTTTTTCGTGTGAACATGCAGCAAATTTACTTATGTATGTATTTTGTTTTGTTCATCGCATAAATCTCCATTTTAAGTGTTGTTTCGGTTATTTATGCATTGTTGTATGTATAATATCAGTCTGGCGGCTAAAAAGCAAAACATAAAAAACTGGATTTTCTATGGTCCACTTTGCTGTACTTCTACGACGGATAAAAGTTATGAGAGTTCTGATAAATGCACTGCTTTAAAGGGTGCGCCGGGTTGTTTTAGTATAGTTCTCTCCCCAAATGGCTTTACAACTCTGAAAACAAGAACCACACTATAGATCCAGTCTCTGAGATAAATTTGAATTTGCAAAAACGTGCGCATTTTTCACCCTTTCTTGCAAACCTATGTTTATGCCTCTAAATTAAAAAGATATAGCTGTGGTCCCGCAAACATGTGCCCTGCAGGATTAATAAGTAGTGCCCTTACAATTCAAGTAGTCTTCATGGGAATGCTCCGGGGCTGTGATAAGAATAAGCATTACATCAATCGCCCGGGCCTCGGGCAATTACAGATTGACTTTCTTCTACCTTTCTTTGTTTTTAAACCAAGGCAAGCTACTGACATATAAATTGATGCTACAGACATTTTAACAACCCTGTTGAAAGTAAGCATTTGAAGCATTCTCGATCCTTGGCAACCGGTCCCACCATGAATCCCATAGGGGATTCGTGTTTATTTCCTTTTCAAATAAATTGTTTCGTTTGAATTTTTTTTTGAAAATTGATTACCCATTTCATTCTCCTGGAAATACAAATAATATTCAAGCAGGTACTTCATAATGACCTCGCAAACTTGATGTACTGTAAATTTCAAACACCAAAAAAGATTCCCAGTCGTACTTTATTCTGATGAAGACGCCATTCAGTAGATGGCAACAGCCATCTTTCTTTAACACTCAACGTATCTTCTATAGACTTTAGGACTGAGGCCAAAGCATTTTCAAATTTTAAACAATAATTTTATATCATTTTCCTTTTTTCGTGTATAAATTTTTCCTAAAAGTTATTAAGTTTGCTTTTTTCATACCAAAAAATAAATAGATCGGATTTTCCCCTTCTTTCTTTGAGAAACATTCAAAAGTTAATTTAAACCCAAAGAGTAAAAAATAGCATTTTCCTTTACATTATTCTATATGAAATTAAAAGGATTTACTTACAGTACATAAATCTCGTCTGAACGTATCGCAAATTAACTTTTACTTACGTATGTATATTTACTCATTTGTAAATTTGCACATACAAGCAAATTTACGTCGAATGAATGGGGGTCGATTTCATGATCTTGGGGCCTGATTTCTTAACCGGTTTCTAAGTGTCTTTTTAAATCGAAACACCGAAAAAATTGTCATATGAATATATTGGCATATGAGTTTTTTTCCCTTTATGTAGGGATTATGTAGCAAAAACATACTCCGGTAATTTGGACAATTTTTTGTGAATAAACATGTTTAAAAACAATACTTTAATGACAAAATCTTGGAGAAAATTATATAAAATATTGAGGAGCGCATTGTCTGTCATTAAATTGGTGTTTAGAAAACATTCAAGATATATTTCTCTAAAGGTTCATATTATGCTGATAGATATTAATGAGAGAGATTGGACTGCATCAACAGTTTTTGGACCTTTTTCTTTCCGTTAAACGTTGACCTTGACCTCACTTTTCTTAAATTAACTTTTGCTCGATTTTAAAGGAATGATTAAATAGTGTATTCAAACATCATAAGCTGATACATAATGATATTGTCTAATCAACTCTTTTTTTCATTTTTTAATCTTATTTTTTACCCTCCCTTGGAATTCACATCAGGCCGCTCGCAGTCGCTCATCTATGGTAAAAACAATGAACCGACACGCCGTCCGATTGTCTATTGCTACATCCCGCAACAACACACATGCGTCCGACACTTTTACTGGCCATTATTCCTCGGAAACTATGCAGAACTCTATAGGGGACTTTCTAAAAATGGCGCAAACTGATGTGTTGTGACGTCATTTCCGCTTTAGCTAGCAATAGCCTCGTTTTCGGTATCGTAAAGGTGTATATTTTAAAAATTTTCAGTTTTTTTGCTAATATCTCCTTTTTAAACCGATTTTGTCGGGAAAACTTACTTTTTTTAAATTTATTTCAATACTTAAGTAAAATATATATTGCCACTTGATCACATATTTCACAGACACTTTAAATTCAGGAATTCTTACGCCAACTAATACACTTATATATAAGACGATGAAAAATTATCATTTATTTGAATATTCTCATTATATCTTAATTTCAATTTGGAAAACTTATTCGAGATTTTCTTATCAAACGTTATACACTTACACAAATTGTCATGATTCATTACTTATTTACACTCGGCGGTGTATTCAAGTGCTATGCAGATATTTTAAGTTTTAAGCTCCTGGGTATTTTTCCTAAAATATCTTTTTGTGTTTCTTGGTTATTTTTTGAGAAATATACACTTATACAAATTGTCATGTTGAATTACTTAAAAACCTTTCACCTTGTAAATTCCTTGTCTGATTGAATAATATGAAATATTAGATCTCTTGCGAAATATTTACATAGGGCTTTATCTATTGATGTTAACTTGTAACTACTGCGTATTATTCTTATCGGAAATCTTAACCTAATTTGATAATTCAAACTGTGTATCTTTTATGCTATGTCACCCACGTCGCGCTGTCGTCGCAGATTTTGCGGAATTTTAGCACGTGGAGACCGTACTTCGGATAAGACCGAACAAGTTGAGATCCTGTGTCGCAGTAGATGCTAGCACAAAAAAAAAAAAAAATCCCTCGCAGTTCAAAGCCCCGGAGTGCCGAGCATAGGTTTAATTTGCAGCCCCAAATTCATGGCATTACAATATAAGTGAAATATTCTTCAGAGAACCATAATATAGCGACAAATAATCGGTTGTTGTTTGAAATGTTTAAGGACTTTTGTCATTATTTTTTTTTCTTAACACATGTAGAAAGTTGAACAACTATGGCGGAAGTTTTAGAAATAAAATCATTATTACCGCCAGTCATAGTTTCGTTTTTTCGCTAGTATTAGATTTTTTTCGAAAAAAAAAAAGACAGACATTGACTTACGACTTTAAAATGTATTGTTTACGAGAAGCCTATGGCGAGAGTTTTAAAGAACTTTTTTTTTTAATTCAAAGACAAAAGGCGTTTTTTAAAACACTCTTCCAATTCCTAAATAGAGTTATGACTAGATTGTATATTCTTTATCTTATTTTGTCATGATTTAAGGGGGGGGGGGTGAATGTCCATCATAGACACTAAGGTCAGCAGTGTCGCAACAAGGCCTTTTCAACCTTATCAACAACCAATCGCTATTCTATGAAAAGTATCTGAAGAAAGGGTTACCGGTTGATTCTAGTTTTCATATCTTTTTTAATCGCATAAGACAGAGACCAGCTGAAGTTTCTCTTTAAAGAATTATATTATTTGGATTTCTCACTAAAGGTTGGTATATGGAATAGAAGTGACCAGTTTTATGCTTTTAACTTTCTTGTCTTTTCTTATAAAAAACATACTTCATGAAGATAAAGTAACGTAGACATAAATGAAAAAATTAGATAATTTCTTGTTTTCAACATAGGTATTTGTCACAAAAGAACATAATAACTATTTTTAATGATGTTCCCATAATTTTTATCATGTCTCTGTAAAAATTTGTCGCCACAAAGCGTAATCAAAATAAAGTATGAATGTGTTCGATAAAGCGTCATCATTTGCGATAAAATTCTTGCAATTTCCAGTCGAATTATTCTTATAACATTGTTCGCTGTGATTTTTTCATTCATATCTATAAGAAAATTAACACTCTTAACATTTTCAAGATACAACAAGGGAAGACTTGATTGAATTTCGTTAAGGTAGTCCGATCCTCAGGTTTATAAAATTAGCAGTTAAGTAATCAAAAATACTCATTAAAGTATCTCTGAATCCACAAAGTTATGTCAATTTATCCACAGTATTTCTTAAAAATTTAAGATTAAAGTTAATCATATTATATAGGGAAAATTGTCAAATCTCCAAAATTTTTGCAGAAAAAGCGAATTGAAATATCAGCAATGCATTTTCTATTTGCAAATTGATCAACAAATATATTTTAGAATAAAAAAGATAGGTATCCAGGTATTTAGAGAAATTGTCATGGTTTTTATACTTATTTGGTATTTTTTGTCTTCTATTTTGCATTTTGAAATGAAAAAACTGAAGGTAAACTGAGCATTATAAACTCTTTTTACCTTTATGTTGTTTGGCAATCTCCCCGAAAACATAACAGTAACAAAAAGTAAAGGAATAAGAATGGTCATTTATTCAAACAAGTGCAATAAATGACAAACAGTAAAAATACATACAATCAAATTAAAAGGACTAGGGACAAAAATATTATGCTATGAAACCGCAAGGTCGGTGCACGATTCTGACTAGAAAAAGAAACAAAAAATACTATTGACAACAATTAAGCACCTGTGTTAAACTAAAAAACGTCCTTGAGTCTCAATTGTAAAAATTGTTAATCCAAAAAACATATATCTAAAAAATGTCAGCATATAATTATACATGTACAACAAAAAGACAATATGGGGCGTCATCTGCCACCGTAACAAGGTAGCATTGTAATACCGGCGCAAGAAGGAAAAGGAGCTCATGCTGGCTTGTTACCGCCCCCATCCAACAACATCATCGTAGACAAAACAAAAATTAAATGTCACACCATTTTCTTGCTGACAATTACTATAAAGATCGAATGAAAGTGTTATGTACACAAAATCAAAATACATGAATAGACAATACTCTAGAAGTTAAGGTTTTACTTGAGCCCCTGTCTCAAGAAAAACTACTAACATTAACCATACTTAGAGCCCCTGTCTCTAAGTAACAATGTCATATTAAGGATTACCTTAAGCCCCTGTCTTAAGGTAAAAACGAGTTGTTGTGGCAAAAACACCTGAAGCCCCTGTCTCCAGATAAGCTTAATACGGGGTAATAGAAGGGATGCGAATGTACTTCCTAAAGGCACTGGACTTCCAACGACCCATGTTTTGAATTTGAATTTCAGTGTATCCCGTTGCAGCAGCTGTTGTTGCTGCACCTATCCTGAAACTGTGGGCCTGATATTTCGAAAGATCTAAATTGCTAGCCGAAGTTGTGAAGTAAAGTATTGGCGGGGGACTGGGGTGTTGTCCATAAAAGAAAAAAGGGGTGCTTCTGGGGAATCGTGTTTTCTGATGTTAAGGAAATCTGTGATCGCGCGATATGGACATAGCAATGGGTTTATGGTGTTCTGACATAGGTGGATAGTTGTAGAATTTGACTTTGAATGTTTGAAATGAGGTATTGCAAGTTCCAGGAAACCTATGCCATTTGTTTTGTTACCCTTTGATACGTGTTTTGCTAATAGATAATGATGGGTTTTGCTGTTGGTTTTAGTAATTTCTCCTACCCTTAGAAAGGCGCAATAAGCTAAGATAAACATGGCCCGAAGCAAAATTGTGGAAAAATATGAATCTGCAGTGTAGGGGAGGGCCTGTACTAGTTTTAGGAGAATATCTGGGGTTATTGGGAGTCTAGGGTCGCCAATCGGTTTTGCTTTTAGAAAGCCTTGAAGCATTTTTTTGATGATGAAATGTTGGGTAACATCCTGGGAAGAACTTAACTGAAAAATGAAACTAAGAGCGGATATAATGGTTCGATTAGTGGACGCAGCTAAATTTGTTTGGTAACAATTTGCTATGAAGTAAGCTAGGTGTTCCAAACAGGGTGGTAGTGGTGACATTTCTTCACCGTAAGTTTGTAATATAAAGAGCTTGTATGCCTGGAATGCTGATTTATATGCTGCAACTGTGGACGGTGATAGAGAACGATACAGCAAGGACTCTGCGGTTTGATTCAGAGACTTATCAATGCTGGGTTCACACGGGTGCAGGCCGGACCCATGTAAGGAAACCGTGTTTGGAACTCTTTGACCTGCAATCGAGAGAGTAGATCTGCAGCTATATTCTTGACTCCTTCAATATGTTTAGCTTGAAAATGTATATTGTATGTTAGGGATAAGACCATCAGTCGTCTCATGAGTTGCATAAGCGATGCATCTTTAGAAGAGTTTTTGTTGATGACGTGAACAACTGCTAGGTTGTCAGAGTGCAGAATAACAGTGCTGTTAGAAAATAAGTGTCCCCATATGTCGAAAGCGATCACAATAGGCAGGAATTCCCTGACGGATATGTGAAAATCAACCCATTGATTAGGAAAAGGAGCATAAAACCATTTCCTACCAAAGGTACAGCCGAGCCCCAGATTGCTAGCTTCAGTAAATAAGTGCAAAGAGGAGGATGTGTGTTGTACCCCCGAGGGGAAAAAGGCTTTGCCGTTAAAATGATCCAGGAAAATGGCCCATGCTCTCAAATCGGCTCGGGCTTCTTTGTCTAGATTCCTATGATGAAAAGGATTTTGCAAACCTCGAGTAAGATTGATAATCCGCCTAAGGAATGTGCGTCCAGGGGGAATAACTGCGCAAGCATAATTTAAGGTACCTATCAATGACTGCAGTTGGCGGAGTGAAGCGGTGCGTTTATTTTGGAATGATTTTATTTCAGATTTTAAACGCTGCAACTTATCCGCTGGAAGTCTAATTTCCAATTTTAACGTGTCTAATTCCAACCCCAAAATTGTCAAGGTGGTAGTTGGGTGAACAGTTTTCTCGGATTTGATAGGGAGATTGATATCTTTGGCAAGGGAATAGAATGCTAAAAGTGAGCTATAGCAGTCTGGGGACCTGGGGGGACCCACGAAAAGGAAATCATCTAGTATGTGCACGCAATAAGTTACACCAAACTTGTTCTCTAAGATCCACTGCAAAGCTGAGCTGAACTTCTCAAAGAGATGGCAAGAATAACTCAAGCCAAATGGAAGTGTTTTGTCATAATAATATGACCCAGATATCTTGAAACCTAGCAGTTTGAAATCCCGTGGATGTATGGGTATTTGTTTGTAGGCATTTTCCAGGTCAGTTTTTGCGAGAAGAACCCCCTGCCAACTTGTTTGATGATTGCGATGGCTGTGTCAATTGATTGGTAATTATAACTTACTGTAGTCATTTCTTTAGGGATGTGGAAATTGATGGAGTTCCCTTCCGGGTAAGACAATTGATGGATTAACCTAAAATCCCCAGGGGCTTTTTTAGGGACCAGACCTAAGGGGGAAATTTGAATATTTTGGACGGGTGGCGATAGAAAAGGACCAGAGACTCTTTTAGCTTCGATTTCCCTACCAATCTTGTCCTGTAATATTTTTTCTTTGCCTAAGATAGAAGATAGTTTACGAGAAGACCTAAATTTACGCTCCCCCATATATGGGATCTTAAAACCTTGAGAAAAGCCTTCTATTAAAAACTGCGATAAAGAATGGTCATATCCAGCTAAATAATTTTGAAGCTGTTGAACATTGATCGGAGTAACGATAGAATCAGAGTTTTTTTGAGGGGGCTGTCGATTCTGTTCTGGTTGCGCCTTGTTTGGAGTTCTGTGTCTGAGGTGTGTCACTTGGTTTAAACTTTGGGCATTGTCTCTTGTGGTGTCTAGCTGCACAGATTTGGCAGACATGGGGGTGTGGACATCCTTTAGTTTTACAGAATCCGTTATTGTTGTATGAGAAGCAATAACGGTGCTTAGCCTGGGTGTTTGAGGCACGAAAGGGCTGGTTTCTATTTTTAAACTTAAGCTCTAATCCCTGTGCCATGGCTTCCTGGTACAATTCTATATTTTTGGATTGCCATGGGCAGGCTTTGGGATCCAGTTGTCGCCAGCGTCGAAAACTTTCATCGTAGGTAATTGCCGCCTTGTCACCGTTTGATTTTGAAATTTTTTGCACGATTTGGCCGTATACCATAAGATTTGGTACTTCGTTAGGGTGTTTTTCCGCGTAGATAGCAACAAAAACATGAAAACACTCGATCCATTTGTAGATAGAAGTGATTTGGGTTTTGTCTGAAGTCTTTTTAAAGATCAGATGTCCGTCTTTTTCTACAGTCTTGTAACTTTCTTCTTCAGCAGGGTCAATGGGTTTAATTAGTGAAGCAAATTTGACGTACTGGTCACTCTGGATTTTTGCCCGTGTTTTTGATCTACGCCTAACGTTAAGGACACGGCAGATAGGGCCTGGGGGGGATCTGAGTTAACAACACAATCTTTGTTCGTACTATCTAGAGATTGATCACCTGTAATCTCACTAAGGAGTGTAGTTGCTGGCGACGTCGTACTTGGTTCCAGTGGCCCTGGTGGCGGAGGCGAAGATGCAGTTGGCTGAGGCGAGAATGCAGTTGGCGGAGGCGAAGATGCAGTTGGCGGAAGCAAAGATGCAGACTTGGACTTAAAATAATCGTCCATACACGTTTTTAACGTCTCCTCGATCGTCGGCATGATTTTCGACATGCATTGATGGAAAATTATACTAACGTCTTCGCTTCTCCTCTCTGACGTTGTTGTTGTGGGTGGATCCTGACGTTTGGTCGAGGTTCTTCTTCGTTTTGGTCTCGAAGCCATCCTAAGAAAATTCATAAGTCATAAATAAGGTGGTAATTAGAAACAACTATAACGAGTGCTACCAATCAGTGTTTACTGAAATTGTCATTATAATCAGAACCATTAAGGCCTGCATTAACTGCATATATGGTTACAAATCATATCTTTTGTTTACTATTGATACTTATGAAGTAGTATATTATATAAATTTATGTGTGTACATATTTTGCCAAAATCGGCCGAATTATTAAGCCGTGTGGATGAATCATATAAAAGCAACAACTGCTAGAGCAGTGTGATATCAAATCATAATATAAAATATATATCACCGCTATATACCGAAGCAGTGGGATCGGATCGTATATAACCACTATCCGCCGAAGCAGTGTGGTAACAAATCATGATCCATATACATATAAAAAACCATATTGCCGAAGCAGAATGGTTCAATCACCACTATATGCCGAAGCTGTGGGGTTGGATCGCATATAACCACTATCTGCCGAAGCAGTGTGGTAACAAATCATGATCCATATACATATAAAAAACCATATTGCCAAAGCAGAATGGTTCAATCATATAAAAACAATCTGCCGAAGCAGTGTGGTGAACTAATTATAGTTCATATATTAGCATTGGCCACTAATTGTGGTGCCTCCATTTGAAGCATAAATAAAAGTTGTTACTGCCGAAAAATTAAGCAGATAGAAAATGAACGATTTAGACCAAAGAAACGACTACGGCTAAATCATTAGGTTTTTTGTCATACAGAAATAGGTAGCCAAAAAACTCTTACCTTCCAGGTCAAATAAAAAACAATATTGGAACCCACGGATGTAGATTCACCCTAGAACACAAACTTCTGCTGTAACCAAAATAATTGAATTGTAAACATTGCTGAATATGCTTAACCAAAGGTGCAAAAATATAGACGATTCATGAAATTATTAGGTAATCTAAACCATAAAATATTTATACAACTTATTAAATCAAATATTGTATGCATGATGATCATAAAAATAGAAAGTTAAAAAACTTTAAAATGTTAACAAGAACACACAATGTGAATTTGCGCCTGTGGACCCGAGAAACCCCTGTCTTCAAGGGTAATTAGTGATCCCTGGATAACAGAAGGAGAATTCCCCTAATTTGTATCAAGAGTTTGTACTGGACAAGATTATTTAAATGGATCCGTCACATAAAATGTTATTCCTGCTACAGGTAAAACCTTTCAGTTTCCAAAAAATGCATGTCATCTTGTGTTACGCAAGTTTTCAACAAGCGATTAGCCTGATCCACTCGACGAGTGTATTCCGAAGGGCTGATATTTCTTTTCCGATCCCGGGGAATAAAACTCAAAATCACCACACTTTTGAGATTGAATTGTCCCTTAAGTAGCGACACAAATGAAATCAGTCTCATTACAATACAGTCAATATCCTCAGAGGAATCTAGTTCGTTGCCTCCTAAATTCACAATGACATGTTGTAGTCGCTTATATCTAACCGCGGCAGTGATGGCGCGGGTGTGTGCGTGAATCCGATTGATCCGCCGCTAATACCGTAAGATTCAAACAATCCCAAGTTCCTAATATTAAACGTCTCAGCGGGATGTTTACCATTCACAAAGTTTCCAAATCTGCGTACATGTGAGTCACCAACAAAAAGAATATGCATCTTGGCGATTGTACTTAACGATGCGCTGTGGATATCAGGTTACAGCGATGTGCAAATTGGAAGACGAAGTGACGCTATTCGCCTTATGACATAAATAGGCTCCGAATCAAACAAATTACCTGTTAAAAACGTTCTGTAAGACACAATCCTCAGTAAGATAATACTCCTTTACGGGGCAATTCCATATAAAATAATCTATTAGGATGTTTTCTGTGTTTTCTTTTAGACAATGAATGCAGCCAATGTTTACAAATAAAATAACCAATGCGCATGCGCATGGAAAATTCCATTAGGAGCTATGCAGAGCAGTAGCTGAATCTATTAATAGCTAGTACTGCGTATAAAACTAAAAATGAACACACCGTGCAACCACCATAAACCATTTATATATATAAATGTATTAAAGACGAATAATGTATTACTTCTTGAGGACAGGGCTTTGCCCTGGGTACATCTGTCCTAATTATGTGGTGTTTGCCCTGGGCATATCTGTCTTGATTATGTGGTGATTGCCCTGAGCATATCTGTCCTGATTATGTGGTATTAGCCCTGGATAAAACTGTCCTGATTATGTGGTGTTTACCCTGGGCATATCTGTCTTGATTATGTGGACTTAGCCCTTGCTACATGTGTTCTGATTATTTGGTGTTTACCCTGGTATCATCTGTCTTGATTATGTTGTCTTTGTCCGGGGTTTATCTGTACTGATCATGTGGTCTTCGCCAGGGTACATCTGTCCTGATTATATGGGATTTGCCTTGGGTTCATCTGTCCTGATTATGTGGTCTTTGTCCTGGGTACATCTGTCCTGATTATGTGGTCTTTGTCCTGGGTACATCTGTCCTGATTATGTGGTCTTTGTCCTGGGTACATCTGTCCTAATTATATGGTCTTTGTCCTGGGTACATCTGTCCTGATTATGTGGTCTTTGTCCTGGGTACATCTGTCCCGATTATGTGGTCTTTGTCCTGGGTACATCTGTACTTATTATGTGGTCTTTGTCCTGGGTACATCTGTCCTGATTATGTGGTCTTTTTCCTGGCTACATCTGTCCTAATTATATGGTCTTTGTCCTGGGTACATCTGTCCTGATTATGTGGTCTTTGTCCTGGGTACATCTGTCCTGATTATGTGGTCTTTGTCCTGGGTACATCTGTCCTAATTATATGGTCTTTGTCCTGGGTACATCTGTCCTGATTATGTGGTCTTTGTCCTGGGTACATCTGTCCTGATTATGTGGTCTTTGTCCTGGGTACATCTGTCCTGATTATGTGGTCTTTGTCCTGGGTACATCTGTCCTGATTATGTGGTCTTTGTCCTGGCTACATCTGTCCTAATTATATGGTCTTTGTCCTGGGTTCATCTGTCCTGATTATGTGGTCTTTGTCCTGGGTACATCTGTCCTGATTATGTGGTCTTTGTCCTGGGTACATCTGTCCTGATTATGTGGTCTTTGTCCTGGGTACAACTGTCCTGATTATGTGGACTTTGTCCTGGGTACATCTGTACTTATTATGTGGTCTTTGTCCTGGGTACATCTGTCCTGATTATGTGGTCTTTGTCCTGGGTACATCTGTCCCGATAATGTGGTCTTTGTCCTGGCTACATCTGTCCTAATTATATGGTCTTTGTCCTGGGTTCATCTGTCCTGATTATGTGGTCTTTGTCCTGGGTACATCTGTCCTGATTATGTGGTCTTTGTCCTGGGTACATCTGTCCCGATTATGTGGTCTTTGTCCTGGGTACATCTGTCCTGATTATGTGGTCTTTGTCCTGGGTACATCTGTCCCGATTATGTGGTCTTTGTCCTGGGTACATCTGTACTTATTATGTGGTCTTTGTCCTGGGTACATCTGTCCTGATTATGTGGTCTTTGTCCTGGCTACATCTGTCCTAATTATATGGTCTTTGTCCTGGGTTCATCTGTCCTGATTATGTGGTCTTTGCATGTCCTGATTATATGGTCTTTGTCCTGGGTACATCTGTCCTGATTATATGGTCTTTGTCCTGTGTACATCTGTCCCGATTATGTGGTCTTTGTCCTGGGTACAACTGTCCTGATTATGTGGTCTTTGTCCTGGGTACATCTGTCCTGATTATATGGTCTTTGTCCTGGGTACATCTGTCCTGATTATATGGTCTTTGTCCTTGGTACATCTGTCCTGATTATATGGTCTTTGTCTTGGGTACATCTATCCTGATTATATGGTCTTTGTCCTGGGTACTGTAAACCTATAGGTTTAGAACAGACATATTGATTGAACATTTTAAACTTTGACAATATTAATATCAAAATCATTTCAGTTATTAATATTGAAATTACTAGTGATAGTAAAACGAAATGAAAGTTTATTGAACGAGGATGTTTATTATTAGTGTACCACATACTGTGACTTTACAATTTGACAAAAAGACTTTCATCTCATGAACTATACTTATCTTGTCAGAAAAAATTGGATGCTGTTGTTGGGACAATGAACTATAATTTTGTAAATCATTTTGTTAGGAAATTGATCAGAATAGACCATTCCAGTCCATCGATATATACTAAGTAATAAAGGTGGAACGGAAATGCAACGTTACTACATGTATTAAGGTAGGTCGCGGGTTAACTGCATAAAAATTCTTACGAGAAAACATATCCTGAAAATTTGATAATAATGTTCCTTAGAATTTAAAGCGTATAATTTGCAAATCTTATCAAATTTGCCTAAGTAGTTTTACTGTTATAGTACTGTAAACGCAGTATAGTTTTTAATCCTTTTTGACGCTTTTACCATTGAAATATATGGGAAAATGACGTTTTTAAGCCAATTTTGTGAAAATAGTTTTTTTTAGAAAGGTTGGATAACTTTTTAAAGACGTAGACGAATTATTCAGGAATTTCAAAATGTCAAGATGAGGTAAAATAAAAACCATTAATATAAAAAAATTAATATGTCTTCTTGCTAGATTTTTTGCTAAATAATTTCAAAGTTTTCTTTTAAAATGCTAAAATTTGGCGTTTATGGCGTTATTAATATCTACAACGTCATTTGTTGAACGTAGTCACGTTTACAGTACGAGTATAAATATATTGACCTATGGAATATGCAAGAATTAAAAGGTGATATCGATACAAAATTTGATTTTATTCATCATTTAATTTATTGCGGAGACATATTAGGAGGACCAACAACTTATTTTCACTAGTATTGTGAAATTCATATTCTGATCACAAAGTCAGAATTAACGGTATAAATAATCCTCGTGCACACATTAACATACAGCGACAATGTTCACCGCGAGTGAAAAAAAATTAGTACCTGTATTTTTAGGAAATTTTAGGTCAATAGGATTTCAGGCAATAAACAAAAATTTGATTACTTTATTTGAAAACGGCAGGAAAAACATCCCTATTGTAATGAAATAAGTGGGCAGAGGGAGGGGGGGGGTTACCTGCAATGTTCTTTCTATATTAGTCGCAAGCTATAGTATATGGCTCTAAATCTCAAACATTTTTTTAATTTCGAATTTTCTGAATTAAATTTCAATACGCAAAATGTAAAACACTTTCATTGAGCTTTTACACATTGGGCTTTTGTCATAGAAAATATATCGAAAAAATTATATTTATAAATTGTTTACAGTGTTTTGTAAGGCTTAAAATCCAAGTGTTTGAATAAATTTGATTTTTAAATGCATTTCACAATTTTTTAGAGAGCAAAACAAGGCGAGTGCACGAGATTTAAATACATAACAACCAATCAATATTAATTATGATAATTTAAAAACAAAACAGGAAAATACTTGTAATTATATATAACTCGTTCTTAGTGATGAGGATTAATTTCCATCCTGAAAAGTATACACACATTTTCGCCCCAGCTTTGATTTGAAGTCAAGTTCCCCTGATTTTCAAATAACGTGCGCATATGCAATCCGTCAAGTATTCGCTATTAAAGCAATTTTTTATTCATGATAACTTTCTTTCTACAAGCCATAACTTTTACGCTGATTTATTCTGATTGGCTTTTAGCAGTTTAGTTACACTTCAAATATAATTTATTGCTTTCATTAGGTATTGTATTTAATTAGCCCTAAGACATTACATATAATCACA